AAGTAATGCTGTCACAGTCCTATTGTGTGTCTTGTATCCTGTCTGGCAAACTACACTAAGATTAATTTACCTGACCGGAGTTTAATAGGAACAACTTTTCCAAATTTGTGGATAAAAATGTTAGATTTGAAACTGGATTAAAAATGTTAAAGTCCTTTTCGTAAAGTCCAGATTTTGTTTTTTAAAATGGGCCTTAAATGTACTGTTTTTAAACAATTTGGTACTGTGCCTGTGATGTGAGAGTCATTTACAAAGCAAAAAAGAATGGAACAATTTCATCTAAACAATCTTTGAAAGGCTGTTGGGTAATATGGTCTAAAGAGCACGATTTTTTAAAAGAATATCTAATACAATTTGCTTGATTTCATCTTATTGCGCCCTCAGTGCTTTGAGGTCCTATCTCCGTTTTAATAAAAGTGAAAACAGTTAAGTTCATAACGTCGATGGCCTGGTGGTTAGGCTCTCGGACTCGCAACCGTAAGGTCGTGGGTTCGAATCCCGTCAGGGACCCGACGTTGTGTCCTTAGAAAAGGCCCTTTACACGAATTTTCCTCACTTCACCCAGGTGGGAATGGGTACCCGGCTATAGACAGCGAAAGATCTTGTCAGTATGTTAATGTTTGAGTGCTTAATCAGCTGCTTGCACTGTATGCTTCCCGGGAAGCTGAGAATGTTTTGGAGTGTTCTATGGTCTGCTGGGGTAATAATAGGTGTGTAAAGCGCACAGCGCCTGCTGTTGAGCGGGGATTTGCGCTATACAAATGCTATCTATCTATTATTATTTATTATTAAGAAGAAGTCACATTTTCAATGTTTAAAAAAATGGAGATAGGACAAGAAAGCACTGAGGTCGCGTAATGTTGCCAGAATAAAGTAATTTATGACTGCCCCGTCAAACTGGTTTGTTATACGGGTAAACTGAGCTCATAGAGTAAGCAGTTCACCGGGGATGTTAAAAAGGGTTTTTTTCACGTTCGGACAGTTTCAAATTTAGACAAAACAAAAACATGCCAATACCCCAAATCAATAATCAGAAACAAACTATCGGTAGTGTCTTTAGCCAAAATGTTTTATACTTTTTCCACAATCAGTCTCAACAAGGAAAATGGCTCATTCTTGAATGAAGTGACATTTATGGGAAAGTACATGAATAAATATTTGCTTTGAATTATTTTCTGTCTGCAGGTGGCATTCCTTTTTAATGAAAAGTTTACGGGGCTAAAGTTAGAATTTAAAATACCAGTTGTAATGAATGGTACATCTTCAGAGGTGGAATTATATTTAGAAATTCCAACACACAATCGGATGGTTTAGCATGTTTTACTTAAATTTTAACCTGTGGTGGACTTGGGACAGAAATTGGGATAATAAGAGAAAAGTATCCCCACATGGGTGACAAGGAATCTTTTTTCGTAGTAACTTGGAATACATTAGGTCTAAAAATAAATGTTGCTCCTCCTCCGCTGCACGGGAAGGATTTGATTGAATAATAAATTATTGATTTATAGATCGTATTGTTAACAAAACGGCATAATTTCCCTGCTCCCGTAACCACAATTCCGTGATACACAAAATATCGAGATAGGTGGTTGGTTGGAGGGCGCCACTGGTGGTTCCTACTTCTTTAGAGTCCCTCTTTTGTTTCTGTGTGTCGGTCTACCTTACTTTTTCATAGCACTAAATGGCCATTGTTGCGCCGACGTGCTTCTCTTTATTCAAACTCAAACTCGTAATATCGAGGACCATTTATCAGTAATTAGATCACTCACTTTGTCCGCTTTATTTCTACCTAGAGTGGAGGACACACAAGCTTCTCTGATATTTGATACTATTTCTTGAAAAAAAAAATTAAAAATCGACAGTCAATTTGTATCAATTTATTCTTGTTGACTTTGTTTTCCTAGCTGTGTACCGCTGAGGCAGACAACTTCAAAAAGATCAAACACCGATTGTCCATTGCTTTCGATGTCCACCTTTTTTTTCTTGTCGTTTTTTTTTCACATCTGAGGTGAATTTTCACACGGGCATGAGCTGGTAGAAACACACGTACTGCCTTGGAAATGACTCTTAGGAAAGGTGTTAGAATCAAGCAAAGGGAAAACCTCTCTTGTTGTTGACATTCATATTTTTGTGGAAGGCAGACCCTTCAAGAAGACAAAAATATGTCCTATAGAAAACACCACGCTAGCTATGGCGAACCAATAAACTATCAATTCTGGGGAAAAGACTGATTGTTTTTACAAAAGTTATTACTTGCACTGCCAAATAATGAATACACAGATTTGTTTTAAAAATCCATTTAGAACGAATTACTTTAAATGCACCAAATGTGAGGCCACATGGTGAAATCAGGCGTTCGTCAAAGTCATGAATTGAAGACACGTATTTCTTTGACGGTTTAGCAATTTCTACCATTTTTTGTTGTTGCTTAGTACCTTTAACGTCCATCTAAAAACACATTTATGTGTGGATTTTATTTTTTTTTTTTTTTCATAAGTGTTTTACCGCGCTCGCAACTGCATAAGGTCATAGGAGCGCGCGGGACACATTAAAAATTTTTCAGTTGGTAGGAGATTTTGAATTTTCTCCGGGTGGCAGCAGAAGCCCACTTTTATCGATTTTAGACCTCCAAGAGATCTTTAAAGTGCACAACTTGCACACAGGACCTCAGAGATTTTTCGCCCTTGTCCGAGAAGGCTAGGTATATATCTTTCTTACCAAAAGATCAGGGGTGTGGCTGAAAGACAACAGTAAGAAGGAGCCAAGGAGTAGCAGTAGAAAAGCTGCAGAAAGAGTCCAGAAGAGGGGGCAAAGGAAGTGAGCGGGTGGGGGCAGAAAGTGGAAACGAAAGCAAACGACATAACATTGCTATAGAACAGGAAAGGGGGTGAAAGAAGACAATTTTAGAAAAGAACATTTTAATATTCTGTCTCTACCCGGATTCGAACCTGAGACTTTTGAATGAGAGGCAAACGCCTTAATCTCTAGGCCACGAGAGCCATTGATTTTACTTTTTAAAATGCTGATTAAAGGCGCAAAACATGCAAATTTACTGTTTTCAAAGACTCTTAAGCGTTGGAAGTCACCAAACTTTGGGAGCCATTTTCTTACTAGTTTTATCTCTGAGACCAGGTGACCCCTACCTCCTTCAATCCAAAATATCATGAAATCAAGACAAATAAACTAGCTTTAAGATGGTACCAATAACTCCATTTGTCCAAAAATTGACGACCGCCTGATTCCTCCGCGCCGTGACACAAATCGTATTATGGATGGAGTTTAAGGAGCTACCGGTTAAGCTCTCAACACAACTCACAAAATTGTTAATTTTATAATGCATTCCCATATTCCACAGCATTTTCCATGCGCTTTACAACTATGTTTCCCACAGAAGACCCCCGAAGTCTCAAAAATATTATTGGCTTCCACAGAAGCATACAATGCGATCAACCGATTAAGCGCTCAAACACTAACCAGTTGATAAGACCTTTTACTGTCAGTAGCCGGGTTCTCATTCCCACCTGGGTGACGTGAGGAGAATTCGTGTAAATGGCACTTGCCAAGAACCCACCGTCGGGCTACAGATGGGGTTCTAACCCGTTACATTTCGGTTGCGAGCCTAACAGCGTAACCACTAAACTACTGACGTCACAGCACTTACTCTTCCATCATCAAACATTATAGTACGTGTTTTTAACGCTCTCGTCAATGATGTACGGTTGCTAAAAGGGTTACACCTCCAACTTTCAACACCCATTTCCCAATCTTCCAAGGCAAATTAACGAGAGCCATAAATACTATAAAAAAAGAACAACAATTAAAAAATAGCTACAAGGCAAGGAGAAGTCCGTGTCTTGAATAGTCTAAATTGTGTACACAAAAAATAGCTTATAGGAGATTCAACCCAGGGTTATTCGCACCCTTGTTCAGCATGATATCGACTGAGCTATCGGTGCATCTAGGTCAGAGTCAGACCACTTGACCGCAGTGTCAGAGGCCCTATAACAACAGGCAGACTTAATACGGAATGAGTGCAGTGGTGTCTATCACCCAGACATTCCGTGGTTTGTCGTAGTAGGGCCTTGACCCTCAGTTTTGACTGGGTGAAACGAGAGTGAACAGACACTATCTCTCGGTTTGTTTCCTTCACGGGGTAAATGTCGGTTGGAAAAATTGTCACAATATCCACTCCTGACAACTGGCGCTGGTGAAGAAATAATAACTTTTAGGCCCCTCGCCGTTGCATACCGAAGACTTCCGTTCGATTCTCTTAAAGGAGAAAGTGTTGAATGGATGTCTCTGTCTGGTGGAATGCTGTTTCCCACTCAGCCCATACTGGTCTTAACAGGCAGGGTCGAAACGGCACGCCTCCTTAAAATGTATTTGGGTGTAAAGCATTTGCAATCAATAGTCAGTCATGACAAGTCTGATTGCTCTTAGGCAGCTTAAGGGGAATGAATGAGAGGCATCGTGGTGAAAATAAATCGTAGTTCAACCTACAGGTGGCGTAACCACATCATCCCCACCCCATCCGCCCACGGACTGGCTCTTAAAGTCTGTGATGTAGTGGTTATTTTGCTTAGCTGTCGCATGCAGAAGCAGTGAGTTCGATTCCTTTGTATGGGGGGTTCTCATCGGGTTTCTAAGCCTGTTTGCTGAGTTCAGGACTTCGAGTCTCAGCTTGGTCCGACGCGTTGTGTCCTTGTGAAAGGCATTTTACATGAATTTCCTTTTGGCTCTGTCCATTCGGAGATAGACATTAAACTCGGAGGTCCTGCCTCTGAAATAACTTAATTTTATTGATATGGGCGGGGAACCTATACCATTTCACCATTTCAACTCGTATTTGAGAAACAACAGCGCACGACACAGCACTCGACGTATGAGCCAATTTAGCCCCATGATTGGCAGCCTCCGAAGAAGTTGGCGCCTCCCTGATACCCCGGTCCAAAAGAGTTAAACTATTTTTGACCTCATGCCGTGTTCCTCTCGCTCCTCAGCGTTCCTGGTGGCCATTAACTGCCACAGTGTACAGTGGGTCACGAAGCTGCAGGCCGCCATCACCTTCTGTAAACTCGCCGCTCTCATCGTCATCATCGTCATTGGTTTCGTCTGGCTCGGAAACGGTATACTTTTTTGCATCAGCCGCTCAATCATGATCAGCTATTGTATCGTTTTATTTTGTCCTTCATCATTGGCTAAATCATCGTTAGCTAACATCATCATTAGATAGACTGTCTTTAGCAAAACCATTACCAGCTACAACATCATCACCTATGATTCTCTTTTGGTAATCATTTTCATCAACTACACTCTAATCAAGTATATTATCATGATCTATAAATATTATCTACCAAAATTATCTTCAGCTCATTGTGACATGTGTTAAACTTTGTTCAAATGTTAAAAAACCAGCGACAATCATCTTCAGCTGAATAAACATCAGCAAAAGTCCTTTTCAGTTACATTATCACCAGTTCAGCAATTGTCAATTGAAAATCCTCAACAGCAAAATCATCTTCAGGTAAATCATCATCTTTCCGTCGTCATCACCTGTTAAAATTCACCAGCTAAATAAATCTGCAAAATCATATTTTCCTCCAAGCTTCCACAAATTCTATATACGATCTTCCCTTTAGAGTTGATGATCTACCTGGAACGAACTCTCCCCACCCAAAACTAAATGTAGAAATAATAAATGTAAAAGAAAGAGACAGAATTGAAGCAGGAAGTGTGACTGAGGCCTTCCTAGACAAAAACAGAATCGAGTGTTTTAATTCCTGAAATGATCAATGGTGCCATTTGGCTATATTAACGAAACTGACCATTGTCCACGTAATGTACGTAATATTATGATTCGTAATTGTTCATAGAATGCAAGTAATACAACTAGGTACACTACTTTTTATTTTGTGTAGGCTTAATGTTCAGGCAATAAAATAACGATTTCCATCATTTCATTTTATGTATTGAAAGCTTAATAATTTTATATATCTGGAGGCCTCTCTTCTTCCCAGGCCACTCAGAGAACTTTCAAAACTCTTTCGCCGACAGCGACTACAGTGCCGGAGCCATATCAATCTCATTCTACAGCGGATTTTTTGCCTTTGGGGGATGGTAAGACTGTGGACCTAATTTGAATTATCATTCCAAGGTCATCTGACTAAAATAGATAGAGATGTTCAAGGTAGACAGTTATATACAAATGTAGAGTCAAGGCCTATAAGAGAAATGTGGCAATAATAACTGTTATAAAGCACAAACATATCCACATAAACACACTCATTCTTTCTTATCGGTCCTTCTTTCTTTCATCTTTGCCTATATAATATTGTAATTCTGGTGTATACTCATACATACACAAATGAAAGCTCAAGTACACAGACACTAACAAAAAACGCGTGCAAAGGGTAAAATATCATCACGTATTGCTAAGTCACTCTTTTTCTGCACAAATTCAATCCCACGAATCAAAGGTTTCTGTCCCTAGTACACCATCTCATTGCATGATCATTTCAAGAATCTATCGTGCTTTCCTTTTTAAAAAATGCACCAAAATTATATCGAGAAATTTTGGACGCACTCAGCAAATTATGGTTGCAGTTACAAAACTATATTTCTGGTTGAACTTCATAGTTTGTCACAATTATGACGAGGATTATGCTTATATGTGTCTGGATCATTTTTGTTTGTCACAAAACTGCCCAAAGTTGATCTGAAGCAAAAGGAATGTCTTCCTCTTTTAAAGAGGCAATAGGGCCTACTTTTCTTATTAATTTACTGATTACGTTTTCGTTATCACGTATACACCGACCTTCCAGCTCAACGGTCACGGAATGCTCCCATTTCTTCCACTTTCAAGCTTTGATTATGCAAAATTGATAGGTGTGCCACGATAGCGTTACTTCAGAGTAAGTAACTTCACTATTTAAAACAAACGATGAACGGCGTCTAGTCGTAACATTAGCACCAGATGACACCGGCTATATCCAAAATTCATTAGGTTTGATGCAAAGAGGGGCTATGTACAGCTTTAGTTTCGTTGCAACGAGGACACGTTTTTCTAAAAACCCTTAATCATCATAATTTTGTTCTTTTTAGGGGCCTTTTATTTTTGCAAGGACCACCTTCTGTGACTTAAAGAAGGAATGTGGAGAATTTAATATTATGAATAATAATCAGGGCCAAATCGTAGGATAAATGATGATGATGATGATGATGATGATGATGATGATGATGATGATGATGATGATGGTGATGATGATGATGATGATGATGATGATGATGATGATGATGATAATTGCTTTTAATCCCTTTCCTGATGAACTCAAATAAAGGGAATCATAAGACATGTTATCTTTTTTTGTTGTTGGTAATATCATACACTTTCAGGAATACACAAGTCTCAGTCTACGTTTTGTTGTTCTTTTCGTACTAACAACAACAACGATGGTACCAGTTCTTGCGACTGTGTTGATTGTTGCATTTTTATATTACGACAATGACGATAGTGACAGTGATAAAATTTTTTTAGGAAAAATATAGTCAAGGGAAATCTAAGCAAAAACCCACCCGTCTTTCTTCCCTCTTTTCTGTGACAGGAGCTATCTGAACTTTCTGACAGATGAGGTCATCAACCCACACAGGTAAACGGATGGTTGGCGGGTGCTCTGGCGTATTTTGCTTCTTCTTTCCTATCAAACGTCAGCTGTCGTTCTAATCTCCCCTCCTTCATTTTTGTGTTTGTTACTCTCTTGTAACACCTCTAAACTTCGGCACGTATATTGACCTTATTGTGTTAAAAGTGCCGTAAAAACTGTTACTAAAACTTTTATACAAACTGCACATGATAGTCAATCGACGAAACATTTCCTGAACTTTTGAGGAAATTTGATAGCGAACTTGTATCGGTTAAACGTTAGAGGGTGGTTGGCGGGAGCTCTGGTGGGGGTTTCTTCTTCTTTCCTATCAAACATCTTTCGTCTTTATCTCCCCTCCGTTTTTGTGTTTGTTACTCTCTTGTAACACTTCTAATCTTCGGCACTTATATGACCTTAGTGTGTTGCATGTACCGTAAAACTCTTACTAAAACTATAACAGGTTAAAACGTTTGCACGTTGCAGGAAAAGGTGGGGCACTCGAATTAAACGTTCATCACCGATAGGACCTAGCTAGATGTGAAAACTCGTGTAAAGTGCATTTCCCAAGGACACAACGTCGGATCAGTCTGAGCTGAGCCTCGACCCACCGAATCCACAAACTCCCCTTTACGGGTCCTGTAGCTTAATCACTAAAAGACACACACACCACTTCTTGAGCTTGTAAAAGGGCTCACATATTTATGTACAGAAAGAAGCTTACGTCTGAAACAGCTCATACCACTTTCAAGTGGATACTTGTCTTCTTGTACTTGGGCTTCTCATGAGCTATCGCAGCTCTCTTCCCACATGGATCGTTCCCGTCAGAAATGGAATCTAAATTTTTTATTAATTTTAACATTTTATATATTTATTTTATTTTAATTTTTTTATATAATTTTGTTAATAATTTTTTTATTTTTTTTGTGGGGGGATGCCACCAAAGATAACCCTACGGTCCTGAAAGGAGCATTAAAGCCTTACTATCATGCCGTACCGCGCCATCATGACCTGAATTACGAGCATTACTATAACATTTGTCATATCTTTGTGACAGCAAAGTATAGCCTCTAGCTACTCTCATGTCTCCGTGCATGTCGATGATCAATGCTGGCTGCCTGTGCGTACTCTAAGGCACAGTACCATCCCCACTGTGACCTCCCCCCTCCACCCCCCTTACCCTATACCGCCTGGATGACATCGGATTTGTGAACAGGCCAACCATTTCTTAGACGTGTGTGATTGGCCGGTGCTCAGGTGTGGTTTGCTCCTTTCCCATCAAACACTGTCGTCATTCTCTCTCCTCCTCCTGTTTGTGTTTGCTACTCGCTTGAAACACCTCTAATCTTCGACACTTATAGTATATTATAATCGTATTGTGTTTCAAGAGCCATACAACTCTCACTAAAACTAAAGTAAACGTTTTAAAAGAGGGGGGGGGGGGCAAACTCCACTCTGACCAATGCTCTCTCGTTCTTTTTCCCCTCAGAAACCTTCCTTTGGGCATCATGATTTCCATCACTGCGGTGACTTTCATCTACATCACAGCCAATATCGCGTACTTTGCAGTGCTCACCCCTCAGGAGATGCTTACGTCTTCTGCTGTGGCAGTGGTAAGGTTAAGGATTTCTACCTCTGAGTTTACATAACTCATGTAAACTCTCTCTCTCTCCCTCTCTCTCTCTCCCTCTCTCTCTCTCTCTCTCTCTCTCTCTCTTTCTTTTCTCTCTCTCTCTGTCTCTC